TTAAGAAATATTAGTAATCATGAACATTTAGCTCTTCCAGCTTAGCTGCCCATATCCTATGCTGCATTATTTTTCACACACTCAAAGCTTGCGCTCGTTCACGCACTTGCCCCAATTATTGAAAAGCATCAATAACAACAACAAAACAGAGATGCATTAGCAACAGCAGATGCACGCACACACACATACCCGTACGCAGCTCTCAGTTAAAATTGCATTTAAAAAAAAATAACATTCTGCATCATACATTCGGGCACTGTCAATATTTGCTAGCTCAAGTGCGCTCGCATATTGTGACGTATACGAGAGGACGTCAACGTAACAATTACTACATATGCGTACGTTAGTATGTGTACGTGTGTGACTACATACTTGTACTTGCCTGTGTACACCACTAGCATCAGAGCTTGGCAACAACTGGGAAACTGTTAAAAAGTTGAGAGCATAGCAAAGCATTAATGAAGCTGCGCTGAGCAGGCAGGCAGGCAAACAGCTCGACTCGATTCGGCGTGGCAGCTGCTGCCGTTGCCGCTGCTGCTGTTCCTCTGTTTGTTTTTATTGATTTATATGCGCTAGAACTGGGCGGCTGTTGCTGTTGTCCCAAGCAGTACGCGGCCCACACACAAACATACATACATACATAGGTATGTATACGCTTACAGGCAGCATCCCATGCCATACAGCTTCCGTTTCCTGCTGTTCACTTGCAACGCATGAGCGTGGAGAGAGTGCGAGCGAGAGCGGGCTACTTGGCACCTAAGACCCCATTGCAGTTGCTCAACACATTTGCGAGGCTCATTTCATTTACAGTTCTTTTCGTTTCATTTTTACAGTTTTACAGCTTGACACACGCACTTAACATAACCCGTTTCAATTGGCTCTCGCGCTCTCTGCCGGCTGTGTGCTCTCTTTCGGCTTGCTCTGCTCTCTCAGCTTTTAGCGGCGCTTGTTTACATTGATTATGTTATTCTGCATGGGCACGCGTGTGTGCATGTGTGTGAGTGTCTGCTAATAGAGTTGCTGCTCGTTGCCCCCACTCCACTCTCTCTCTCTCTCTCTGCCACTACTGTTTTGCTAATTTCTTTTCGCCGCCAGCCAGCAGGACATCTTAAAAGTCGCCGAATCAATAAGTTGACACACCCAATGCATCATAGTGCCAAAATAACTATCGTTTCAGTTATTGGTTTTAGGTTGAAATACATATAAAAGAGAATATATTGGACCTATTCAATAATTGGCATGAGTCAGTCATTACACACAGCTTCACAGGGCTGCTATTCCTTCAACCAACCAGCCACCCACTTCATATTCCCTTTCGCTCTCTCTTTCACTCTGTCTCTCTTTCTCTGTCAGCATGTATGCACTTTTGTGGCTCATTAACGGCTTGCGTGAGACCAAAATGCTTTGCGGTTTTCATGCATTCATCTTAGTGCACAAGCACACACGCAGACACTCTCTCCCTCTCACACACACACACAAGCACAGTGCGTGGTTAGCTTGCTATGTCAAGCAGCCATTTGTTGTTATTGCCTTTGCTGTTGCACTGCAGCTGCCCAATCATCGTTAACAGTTCAACAAGCATTCATACCATCATCTATCCTTGTTGTCTTCGTCCCATTTATCAATGCAAGCCACATTTCTCTCTGATGCTTAAATTCGTTATTCGTATTAAAAACCTAACTCGACAGATGAAAAAACTTAACATTCTGTTATCCGCTAATGCTAAATGCTAAACAAATTATAACAGTCCGATAAAAGTGATTTATTACTAGGCAAATACCAAGGATAAGTCCCAAATTCAAGTGATTTTTTCCTATATATTTATTGCATACTTCAAGGAGCCCACTCTTACAGCACACTCCCATAGACTTGCTTGTCCATTGACTTCATTTAATACTAATTTGGCAGCAGCTTCTGATGTTAGAGCGCTGTCTCATTATGCCGTACACACACAGCATATCCTGCAGCTTTATTGTCTTGCGAAATGAGCATTAAATGTTATTGTTTAGCATTAATTGAATTGTGGACACATACGAGCTGAGCAAATTAACGGCAGACGCCTTGCCCCAACTCTGACTCCGACTCCGACCAATGAAATATTTAAGCTTTAAGTGCAGACTAACATTTCACACGTTTTATTCTTGCTCACAGGCGCCTTTAAGGACTGCACAGCAAGGGAGACAGCAAAGGGACAGGACACACGTCAGTCGAGTATAAAATCAATAAGAGACACATGTAATTGGATAGCCCCGGCATTGGCAATATGGCCGGCCCAGCAACTGCTAAGGGAACGGGGCAGTCAACTTTGCCGTTGTTAGTGTTAGTGTGGCTGTTGCACGAGCGGCGCCACTAAGCTGCAAGGACACACACAGCTGGCCAACATGTCGGACAGATACGCCGCCGGCTACTACGAGCAACTGCACCCGGCTCAGGCTCAAACCCAGGCCCAAGCTCAGGCCATGTCTCACTATGCAGCGCCTGGTTATCGCGGCGGCTATGGCAGCGCCTACAATCCCTATGGCTATGGCTATGGCAGCTCCAGTCCGGGCCCCGCTCCCGGCCCCGCCTCCTATATGCCCAGCTATTATCGCTATGCGCCCTACGCCTCGCCCCACTACAGTCAGCCGTCGCCGCATCAGCATCATCATGCGAGCATGTTCACGCCCGCTGGCCAGCAGCTGATCCCCTCCAGTGTGCTACACTATCCGCCTCGCCCACATGCGCAACATGCCTATCAACAGCAGCAGCAGCACCAGCAACATCAGCTTCAGCAGCACCACCAACACCAGCTTCAGCAGCAACAGCAGCACCAGCAACACCTGAGCAGCAGCAGCAGCTATGAGCAGCCAGCGCCTGCGCTTTACAGTGCTTCCGCCTTTGGTCAGGCACGCGGCTTTGCCGCCTATCAGCCAGCCACGTCCACGCACTATGCAACGCCCGGACGTTCAACGACGCCGGCACCGAATCGCACAGTGTTGCCGCCCAACTATTTGGAGCCATTACGCAACTACACAGAGCAGCATCAGCATCAGCAGCAGCAACAGATGCAGCTACAACAGCAGCAACAACAACAGCACAAGCTCGAGGAGTTGCAGCCAGAGCAAATCAAGCTGGAGCATGAAGCGGACGCAAATTCACCCAGCCAAAGATTAACCACATCGCCTCCACTGATCAGTGCCACCGGCACCGATAGCGGCATCAGCAATTGCAGCACGCGAGCACGCAGCGACAGCAGCCAGAGCACGCCCGTCTACAGCGGCGAGTATCCAGTGAATATGTCCGTGGAGTCCGCCTCCTGTGTGTCCTATCATTGTCCAGCCGATGGCAGAGACTACGAAGAAGAACAACAACAGCAGCAGCAACAACAGCAGCAGCAACAGCAACAGCAACAACAGCAACAACAACAGCAGCAGCAGCATGTGGAGGCAGCAGCTGTTGTCGATATGCCCGGTAAGTTGTCAGCATTACGCTCCATTTAATGTACAATTATGCAGGGGGCGACGCAATTATTGAAAATTTATGCAAACATATGTCAGACTAGATTATGTAACAAGCATTTAAGCCCGAACAATGGGAGCTCAAGCAGCCGAAGCAGCAGTGTACATAAATCATGCAACGTATTTTATGCACTGGGGTCTGCTGTTAAAATTAAATATTTGCTGTTAAAATAGGCATAGGCAGTTAACAGAGTAAGTTAACAGCAGAACTGTTAAAACAAAGAGAGTCTGCCGTGAATATAAGAGAGTGGCACAAGTTTAATGCCAATGCTAACAGAATACGATCAAATAAGAGAGATGGAGAGGGAGAAATAAAAAAGGAGTTTATAGTTGCATGCAAAGTTACAGAATAACTGTCTGTTAATGCTTGCATGAATGAATTAGAAGAAAAGTAAAGCTTATGTACATATATTAAAGAGGAATTTAAGCAACATAACAGTTAGCTACAGCTAAAAGAACAAATTGAGAGTGAGAGAGAGCGACCTTTAACATTTTTGAGCATTTTACAAAACTTTTAGTAACTCAATTAAGCAACTAAAACTTGCTTAATCAAACTGCAACTAAAAAGCACATATTATACATAACTTTTCACATCACATTTTCTATTCAATTATAAATGGCAAGCCGGGCAGAGTTTCCACTGTGCTGGTTGTCCACTGCTTGTAAGCCAAGCCACTGCGTATACTTGATTTTGCATGCAAATGAATGCAAAGAGCGTCCATTTGAGTCGCCATCAACGCTCCGCCGTCAGCCTCATCATCAGCAGCAGCAGCAGCAGCAACTGTCCGTCAGCCAGCCATTTGACACGACATGACGGTCAGTTGAGCAGTTGGGTAGACGAAAGAAGAGTAGAGGGCTGAGCAGAGGAGGGGAGAGTAGAGCAGAGTCGACATTTTGCAAACACTCAACCAATCAGCGTTGGTTAACTGCTCAAATGCTTCCGCTTCCTGTCGCAACGACTTAGCACAAGGTGGCGTGGGCTCTGTCGGCTGTCGACTGTTCGCCGTTAACTGTGACGAGCCTACGTCATGTTGCTTTAAAGGACTTGAAAATTAGCTGTCTATTTAGGCACGCAAGGCACTGGCAGTGGGGGCTTTGGCTCTCCCCTTTGATGAGCTGATTCTGATTTGACTTTTTGGCGGAGGCGTGCTTGGCGAATCAATAAGTTAACTTGGCTGATGACGCGTCACACACACAGCTGAACGATGGCAAGTGGATGGAAGGTGTTAAGTGTGCAAGGGAGCATCACACTCACACGCACACACACACGCACACATACACACTCGGCTCGGTGACCCTAACTCCACAGTTTGTCAGCTTTCCCTAAATATTTCCTAATGCAAACGAGACTTGTGGGCATAGCCATTGCTTATCAATGGGCGCTCAACTTACACACACATACGCACACACACACACACTTGCACAAATATGATTTGAGGGTGTGTGCGTGAAATGTCATCACAGCGGAGCATGTAAATGAACTTTACAACGCAATGTGGTGGGTTATTTGTAGCTGCTTGCTGTTTGCCCAACACACACAGAGACAAACGCGCAGACACACACACACATACATACGTATAAAGAAGAGACACCCTGGAACATGGGGGCTGTTCATGCAATATTTGCTGTAGAGGTACCCAGCATTGACGCAAAAATCAATGTCCGTTATGACAAGTCAACTGTAGTTCGAGAAGAAAAAAAAAAAAACAGCAGCAGCAAAGGATGCGCAATAAGCTGAAAGCTTATGCTAAGAGTAGTTTGGATAGAGATTATATATAGAATATGATTTTAACTGAACAGAGTAGAGAAACCGGCGGTTGCTTCAGCTACGATGGCTATAAGATATTCAATCAAAATACCTGTTTATTCTTACTAAAATCTACATAAAATAATTCAGAAATATATCACTTATTATTAGTAATTAAAATTATTTATTAATTGATTTATTTCCACGCAGCAATTCTGTGCATTAAACGAAATCTATAAAAATGGTTTAATATTTTACTAGCTATAATATTTTTTATAGATCTTCAAATATACTATATGCGCGAGCTAATGATAATAAAAGATTAATAAAGTAATATAGTTATTCCATCAACTGTTATTAAGCTAACATGCTCGCACCCACGCGCTATTATCAGCCTTTAAATTGATTATAATTGATTTATTTGACGTGAATACCATTACAATAACAACAATAGCAACAACAACAATTCAAATCGAATATCGCGACTCGTCGCGCTGCCCACAACAGAAAATACGTAAACAATGCGAGCCCAGTCGCATGCGCTGAAAAGTATGCTATAAATTTGTACATGCCGACTAACAGCCGAATGTGAGTGAGTGTGTGTGTGCGAGCCTGTGCGTATGCATGTGTGTGTGTGCATGTGCTTGACACGTTCAACAAGTGCATGTTGATGTGTCGCTTACACACACATATACACTCACTCGCTCTCAATCTCTCACACTCAAGCTCTCTCTCTCTCTCTCTCTGCACGAGCCTTACTCTCTTAGCTACCCCCGTTAGAAAAAAATGAATATAAATATAAGAAATTTGATAAGCGAGTGCGAAAAAAAAGCAACAAGAACAACAGCCACGAAAGCTACGGCTCTCTCGCGCTGGTCAACCTGACTGAACCTTTGTCTTTTTAACCCTTGATAGCCGCCAGCACGCATGACAAAATAATTACAAAACGCCTCAAAAATAATATGCGAAAAAAATAATAAAAAAAAAAAAAAATGTGGGAAGGCAATCTTTATTGATTTTTATTTAACACACGCTGCCTGCCTGGGCGGGCGCTTTATTTTTGCCAATTTTCCAGATGACATAAGCACGACGGCAGCGACGTCCACTCCCACGTCGACATCGACGTCAGCGTCAGCGTTAGCGTCGCCGCCTATTGTGAATGATACTGATAAGGCGGGCCATGCGGAGCAACCGGATGTTGTGAACCGTGCGGAAATCAATTTGGCGAAGCCCAACAAGCAGACATCAACAACACCAACAACACAAACACCAACAGCAGCAACAACAGCGCCGCAGGATATTAGGGAGCAGCAGTCGACAGCTAATCAAATCAACGACGATGCAGTCGGGGTAAGTTGGCGCAAAATTACAAATTAAAACTGCAGTCGGAAAGGGGATGGGGCACGGGGTGGCTGTGATAGCAGGGGGCATCTGACTTGTCTAATTAAGCAACAGACAGGTGACAGCAGCGCCAACAGCAGCAGCAGCAGCAGCAACAGCAGCGGTTCAATTAGGCAACGCAGCGCCACGCAGATGCCATGGCAAATTAGGGCAAAGCAACAAAAAAGGAGAGGAAGAAGAAGCAGAAGCAATGTAACGACAGACTGATAATGACAGACTACAATGATGCCCCGTTACAATAGCAGCAGCGCAGCAGCAGCAGCAGCCGCCGCAGCAGCCGACTCAAAAGAGAAGACCAAAAGCGAAATGCGTTTAGCTCCATCGACCGGCTTTCTAGGCAGAGAGCGACACCAGACAGACAACAGAGAGCGAGCGCACTAGAGAGTGAGAGTGCGCAAAAGTGAGCATGCGCAAGTAAAGAGAGCGCCGCACAAGCCTAAAGCCTTTGAACAGGGTGACTCAAGTAAAGCGCAGCTACAGAGCTCCTAGACCGAGCGCGTTAGCTAGCCGGAAGCCTTACTACAGGGTGTCTCTGCAGCAGCAGCAAAAGCGGGCGCCTATTGATTTTTGGGTGAACTTCAATGGGCTGCTGCTGCTGTTGTGCTTGGCGGTGGGCTGGCTGGGCGGAGTTGCCTGGGTTGGGTTGCTTGACAACACAAGCTATGAGCACGCGCCTCACAGGGCACCTTTGCTGTTTGCAAGTTTCAAGTGCCCGCCACTTGAGCGTAGAAATTTTTCGTGCTGCAACTGCAAACTAAATCGATTTTTGTTTGTTTGCTTGTTGTTGTTACAGCAGCAGCTGCCAACAGCAGCAACATCAGCGGGAGCTACGCACAACTGGAGTCCGGCATCGAGACGGTCACGCACGCCGCCAGCGCCGCAGAACTCGCCCGTCGGCTATGGGCTCTCAGCGGCTGTTGCAACGAACGCTGTGCCGCCTGCGCTGGCGCCCCTGCTGCAGCAGCAGCAGCAACAGCAGCAACAGCAGCCGCTGAGCAGCAAGCGCAATGCCAAAAATCGCAACAGCAACAACAATAGCAACAACAGCAACACAAACATCAACAACAACAACCGCATAATCGAATGCGATCTCATACCGAGCAAGAAATCAAAACGCAAGGCGAACAAACGGGAAACGGAAACGGAAACGGAGCATGTAGAAGCCATGGAGTCCACAGTGCGCGAACAAATAAGGGTGAGCCCAAACACTCATACACACACACAGACGCACACAGAAGCAAAAGAAATGGCTTTTGAATAGCTTGAATACCCCTAGCTAAAGCAGCAGCAATTTCGACAATTATTTGACTAAGTTTATACCAAACTAATAATGGAATTAGATTGTCTCAAATTATTTTATTCATGAGAACATGTTTATTAAGGGAAGTTATTGAGATATTAATCAAAAAACATTGTTAACATAGATATAACATGACAGCAGGAGCTGCAGGGTTTAGGCATCTATTGTTCCATTGCCTACAGGGTATACACTAGTCAGACATTTACAACGCTTACAGTTCGATTAATACAGCAATTGATTCAATATTGTTTCCTCACAGGATATCAAGCCTTTGCCTGGCTTTCAGCAGGCGTTCGGCTCCACCGAAATCGGGCGCTTCTCGGAGCGTTTTCTGCAAACGCCCGAGAGTCTGGTCGAGCGATTGGCCGAGGAATACGCAGCGAGCTACAGCAGCAACAGCAACAGCAGCAGCAGCAACAGCAGCAGCAACAGCAGCAACTACAGCAGCAACATGGGCAACAGCTACTACGATGCCCCAATTGGTGGGAACATGCACGGCTATTGGCCATACGAGGAGCAGCATGGCTATGCCTATCCGAGTCCCGGTCACCACAGTCACAGTCAAATGTCGCGCAGTCGTATGCGTGGCCAGCTCTATCCCTACTATGCGGCGGACTATGCGGCGTATGAGCGATACGGCTATGCGGCCTACAGTGCGGCGAGCAGAGCGCGCTACAACGAGATACGCTGCAATGGCTATTGAAAGAGCTCACCAAAAAAAAAAAAGAATTAATTAATATATATATATATAGAGTATATATATATGGATAACCTTGTCGTTTTGTCATTTAAAGAAAAGAAATTCTCTCTGTGTGTGCCTTTTTCGGTCAAAATACGGCAATGCCCCGCCCCGAAAACAGATTGTAGAGTATTTTATTGTCGGGCATTGCTGGCGTTGATTGCGTGCAAAATTCATATATAAAAAAAAAAAAGTATAAAAGGAAAAAACAAACAAGGCCAAAATGTAAATTGATAAGTAAGCGTTAAGTAGTTGAATGTTGAATGAGCACACAAAATGTTTGCCATTGGAGCAACCGAATTGTCCCACTGTACATACTCGTAGAGCAATGCATTTCGTTCTCTCGGTTTTCGTTTCTAAGCAATTTCTCTGCGTAATTAATTATAATTAGTGAAAGATGTGCCATTGAATAGAACTTTGATGCGACAAAAATGAAACGACTTTGACGTTCTGTTAGTTATATAATATATATATACGGTATATATACAACAATACATATTACAACGGTACTTAATGCAAGTTTTTAATTTTAATTTGTAATTAGTTAAAGCAAAGCACTAAATATTTTAACTTGATTTTCTTCATTTTCTTTTTGTACTTCTCCAATTTGAATTACTAAACAATTTTTATTTATTCATTTCATTTCGATTTAAGTGCCTTAATTTAGTTACATTATAGAAAAAACGATTTGAAATTTTTGACAAATTTTTTATCAGTTTTAATGTATAAAAAAAAAACCAGTTCAGGTTTCAAAAGGGCCCAACAAAATGTAATGAATTAAAAACAAATCCAAATCCAAAAAAGAAAAAAAAACACATCGATAAAACATTCAAAAATGTTTTTTAGTCAAATCATTAAATACAAAAAAATTAGTTGTTAATTAAAAAATTATTCACACAACAAAAAGAAAATAAAAACTTCATAGTGTTGAAATTTTATGACAAATATTTTCAAGGTTTAAAAAAGAAAACAAAAACAAAAAAAAAAAAAATTATATATACATGTAGTTAATTTTAAGTCCTTGTGTAAATAAAACAAATATTTGAACGTTTAAATTTTATGATGAAAAAAAAAAAAAAAACAAAAACAAAATAAATCAAGAATCAAATTAGCGTAAAAATTGAATTTTTTTATTGCTACACATAATAAAAGCCAAACGAATTGATTTATATATTTTGGGAGCGTTTTTTAATGTTTTTATTTTATTTTTTTTGCTTGTCTTGTTTTTATATTTTAACGGTTTTGTTTTTATTTTTATTGATTTAATTAATTTATAAATATTATTACATAACCTAGAAGTGTGTTGTTTTTTTTTTTTGTTGTTTTATTAAATAATTACAAAAATAGTTGTTCTTGTAAAAACAGCAGAAAATTGTGTAAATTAGTTTTTTTTTTTTGTAGTTGCTTTCTTCGAGTTGAGCGGAAATTAAAAAGAGAAAAATTATTTAGGTGTTTGCTTAAAGACTTAAGAACTAAAGGAAATCATAGATGATTAAGTGACTCATTATATATATATATAAAAGAAATAGAAGCAAAACTGCAAGAAAACTGGATACAGTGTAAGTGTGAGTGTGTGTACGTGTGAGTGTGTGTGTGTGTGTGTGTGTGTGTATTGGGAGACTGTTACAAGTTGGCTACAAGTTTCTCATTTTAGTTTTCTTTGAAGTATATAAATAGTTTGTTCTGTTTTGTTTTTGTTTTTGCCTGTTTTTGTTTTCTTTTGCTTTCGCTTTAATAGTAATAAACAATTACACAATTATTGAATTTGTTAGCATTATTGCCTTGATGCTGATGACGATGTTGCTCATCCATCAGTAATAATTAGGTTTATAAATTAATTAGTGTGTTTTATATCGTTTCATATATATATATATCATCAATTGTGTTTTAGTTTATATGTATCGTTTTTTCTTATTTATTTTTTGTTTTTTTTTTTTTTTGTAAGTTTTCTTCGTTTTTCACTTTTTGCATAAGCTAAGAGACGACGTGTCTTTGTGTGTGGTGTTCGTGTGTGTGTGTGAGCTTTGGATGTTGGCTCGCAATCATGATGACGATGCCGCCGATGAGTTCTTGGTGGAGCCACCGGCCGAGTTGGAGTTGCGCTGCTTCTCAATGTACACGTTGAGTAGACGCACTTTGCTGGGATTCATCACCGCGAGCTTCGGCTTGAGCTTCTCCTCGCCGAGCACTAGATACAGCTTGACAATGCAGAAGACCGCCGCCTTGCGCACCATCGACTGCTGATCGTCGGCGGACCGGGCCAGATTCGGAAACACTGTGTCCAGGTGGGCATCTGTTATCTCGGTGCCGTGCTGTTCGGTTACCTCGAGCAGAATTTTGATGGCGCACAGATTGGCTGGAAAGGCGCCCGTCGCAATCACCGGATTCACAATGTTAATGGTCAGATCTAGTGGCAGGGCCGGCGCTATCCGCGGTATCATCGTATCTATTTCGCGCAGCGCCTCCTTGCTGTGCTGATAGCAGTTCATGATCTTCAGCAGGATCAGCTCGAGGAAGTTCAGCCAATTGTGACGCATCTTGTCGCTGCGCACAATCTTGCTGAGCACGTGCAGGCCAGCGATGATCACATCCGTGTGCTCCGCCTCGAGCATGTGCAGCAGCATACGCATTATCGACTTGAAATGCTTGTTGGGCAGCTCACAGTTGCCGCCCCGTATGCAGATGCCCAGATTGGTCAGCGCCGTCTGCAGCTGCTCCACGGGCTGGTCCTTGTTGAGGGTCAGGGCGACGCGCATCACCTCGCTCTCGAGCAGATTGCCCGGCAGTATCAGCTCCCCGTTCTCCGCAACGAGCAGCGAAATCTTTGACGCTGGCTGAGCTGGCGGTGCCGTGGTGTCCAGTCGCATCGTTGCCGATTCCGGCGTATTCGATTGCGTGGTGTTGGCCGACGATTGGGTTTTCGAATTCGATGACAGCGAGTCCTGCTGCGCTGTCAGATCTCGACCGGATTGCTGATGCTGCTGCTGCTGCTGATCGATGGCGAATTGCAGATGGTGTCCATTGTAGCCATTGGGCGCGAGCGATTGGTACTGGCCGCCCGCAAAGCAGGAACGTATCTCCTCGGAGGTCTTTTGTATATTGTGCTGCACCTCCAGCTCGGAGAAGCCATAGTTCACCTCCTGCTCCACAGACGATTGGCGTGAGCGCGGACTAGAATTCATGTGCATATTGAGCGAGGAGAAGGGCCCAACACTCGGACTCTGCAGCGGCTTAGGGCTGCTGCTGCTCAGCGGCGAGCTGCTCGGCGAGTTGGCGCCGCTGCTCTGTCGCCGTATATTGGATTGGATGCACAGCCGTGCCGTATCCTGGTATCCCTTGGGCAGTGCCGCCAGCATCTTTGTCATTTGCGGCGTATTCAGATTGTAGAGCGCCACCAGGCATTGGCGCGCCTGAGAGCGCAGCTCCATCGACTTGTGATCGCCCGCCATTTGGGCGAGCTTCAGGATGGTGCGCTCACAGCTCTGGTTCTGATCGCTGGGAAAGTCGCTGCTCTTGCCGTACGTGTTGACCAGCTCGGCCAGGAAGCGCAGAATGGCGATGCGTGTCTTTGTCGTCGGCGTCTGTGTGTTGTCCGATATGATGCGGAACAGCTCCTTGAGCTGCAGCTGCGTCGGAAAGTATTCGTGGACCACCTGCAGAGTCTTCCAGATCTTGCTGTGCATCGAGTTGAGCAGATCGGTGCCCAGCTTATTGAACAGCCGCGTCAGCAGTATGAACAGCCAGTCGTGGAGCTCGGGTGCGTGCACCAGAATCAACTCAGTGACCGTATCTAAAAACAAAGAGTAGACTTTAGTGTGCGTGTCCATAAACATTTTGCGAAACATGTCCAGGACGCATTGCAGCTGCTGTGGCGTCAGCTCCTTGCCGTCGGCCAGATACTGGGTGAGACTGATCAGGCCGTCCTTGCGCTCGCCCCAGTGCGTGGAGGCGCAATATTGGATAATTGTCTCAATATCGTCGAAGGGCGCCCGCTGGGTGTTCCAATCCAGGCGATTCCGTGAGCCACTCAGCGAATAGTTCGACATGGAGTTGTTGCCGCGCGTATAGCTCGAGTCAAAGGAGCGCTCCGAGCACACTGAGCTCGCCTCCGAGTCAATATCGTCCGATTCATCGCGGCCCAGCAGCTTGCGTCCCATGCGGATGCCGCCGCTGCGCATAAAGTCGCCAGACACATAGTCGGCCACATCGCCATCTCCTGGATTGCTGCCGCTCCCTCCTCCCAGCGAAAGTTCGGCTTCGCGGGATTGGGCCAGCAGACGGGATGCAGCTGTGCTGCGCACGGGATTATTGCGTTCGGGTGTTCGCCGCGCACTGGAGCCGGTCGAGTAGATGCTGCGCTTCATCAGCCCGCCTCCACTGCCCAAGCGACTGGGACTCGTCTCTCTGGAGCTGGCGGTGCTGCGCGGTATGCCGGATGCCTTTTTGGGTATGGCCCCCGTGGCACCGCCCCTGAAATAGCCGCCCATGCCATAATGATCTCGCAGCTTGGTGCTCGGCGATGTGGAACGCGATCCGGGCTGGGATTGAGAGACGCCAGCCCGTGTACGTCCGATGCGTGTGGTGGGCGTCACCGTGCCCGGCGAGACGTTCTGGTGGCCGCTGTTGGAATTGAGGCGTGGCCGCGGCAACGAGCCACCGCTCGCCGAGCTCGACGTTGTGGATCCAGCATGCAGATTGCTGTTCGTGACAGCCACCGCGGGTTTCTTCTGCCTCGAGTAGAGCGTGTATTGGGCCCGTGCCTTGGCGCGCTGTGCCGCCGCCGTGTCCACGGCGGAGATGGAGCGCATACTGGGCGTGGCCTTCTGCAGCGAGTTCGTGGTGCTGCGTCCGATGCGTGACGGTGCCACCGGGCGCTGCTGGACGCCACCGTTGCTGTTGTTGCTGCTGCCACCGTCACGCTCCCGTTCCAGTGCCCGCTGCGCAGCTATGTCCAGACTGCCATAGATCTGATCCGCCAGATCGGGAAAGTGGCGACGGAATGCCCAGTAGGCGAGTCGGGAATGCCGGCGCGCCTCGCTGTCCGCGTCGCCAATGGACTTCTTGAGCGTGTCGCGCAGAATGATGGCGTGTCGTTCCAGGGATTTCGTTTGCCACTCCTCGAAGAGCAGCACCATCAGCTCGCAGAGCGTTGAGCGGATGTCCTTCGACTTGGACTGCTGTAACGTCTCGAAGTAGATCTTCAGCAGCTTCGGCGCGTGCGTATATTTGATGATATATTTGAGGGCCAGCGTGGAGGCCGATGCAATCACCTTTGCCGAGTTCTGGATCAGCTGTATCAGCTGCTCCAGTATGCTCCAGCAGAAGGAGTCCAGTTTGTTGCGCAACGTCTTGGACATGTACGCAATGGTGATGCATGCCTCCCTGATCACCTGCGAGCGCAGCTCCTCCTTCAGTACGTCCAGGAAGGCCAAAGATAACTCCTTCAGCTGCACAGTCATGAATTGCTGCTGCGCCTGATAGTTGAGCATCAGCAGAGCGCGCACCTTCTTGAAGGCATCCACGCGCTTCTCCCAGTCGGCATTCTTATCGCTTATGATAACTAGGATTTGCTTGTATATATCATCCATGTCCTTGGCATGGAATATAGTCAATTGCGGCACCTGCTCAAAGCTGGCCTCAAATATCTCCATGGTCACGGCGCCCGCATCGCCGGCCACGTCGTTCGTAGTGGGCTTCTGGCGCTGCATCGACGAGGCCGAGTGTAGCTGTCGCTTGACAATCTTTGTGGGCCGCTCCCGCACTGAGATGTTGTCCCCCTCGTCCAGACCGCTGCCATTGGTGCCGTTGCGCAGCGCCGAGGGCAGCAACAGCCCCTCCAGCTTCACCTGATCGAACTTCTGCTCGAGCAGAGCCAGCTTCGAGGCAGGCATATCGTCAATGCGTCGCAGATCCGGTCGCAGACGATCGCCCACATGCTTATAGATCTCCACGAGCGTCTGTATGGCCGCCTCGCGCACATTCACCGTGGGATCACCGAGCAGGGCACACACCGGCGCTATGTACACCCGGACGCTGAGCTGCTGGGTGCCGTACTCGTTGAGCGCATTCACAATCGTCTGCAGGAACTCCTCGCGCACTTTGGCATTCTTGTGCTTGAAGCAGGTGACGGCCAGTTTGTCAATTAGCGTCTGGGGCGACTGAACTTTGTGCTCCATGAGATCGCGCAGCAGCAGCTGCGCCTTCTCGCGCACAGTGTCTCGACTGTCGCCCAGGCGATCGATCACATGGGGCAGCACGGTGGCCGTATACGCATTGAAGTCGGAGCCCAAACGCTTGATCAGCTCCGAGAAGGCCTCGAGTGACTTTTGTGCGATCTTGAAGTGGCTGCCCGTCAGCCAGGGCATCAGATTGTCAATGAGGAAGCCCATGTCTGTGCACACAATTGAATTGGTGTCGTCGCTGAGGAATGTCACCAGATCCTCAGCCAATTGGACCTTGACGCGCATATCCGCCTTGGGCATCTGTTGAATGAAGCCATCCAAATCGCTTGGCTTGCGGTACGCCATTCTCTCTTTCTCTCACTCTCTCTCTCTTTCTTTATAACAGCGTGAGTGTGTGTGTGTGTGTGTGCCGAGTGCTGCACCTGCAATAAAAGTGAATGGACATCAAATTGATTTTAGCTTTTGGCTTGAGCAAATTGTATTAAATATTTATGCCACACGACTCTGTGGCACGTTGCAATGCAGGTCAATGTAATTTGAGCAGATGAAATGCATGAGAAAACGAATGTCAACGGTTACATATAAATAGATTGATTCACTTTTGTCTCGCTCTAAATAAAACATCAAAATAATTGCAGACGGCTAATTTGTTCAGTTAGTCAACTAATTAAAGGTAAACAAACACTATATCAAACAACTATAAAAATCTGCAACAATTTTGACAAAGCTAAATAATATGATTTACAAAAAAACAATAACATTAAAATCTACTTAAGTTTTGTCAAAACCCAAAAATAGATTCTATTTACTCTTCAATTTATGGATTGCATTCACTGGAGCTCAAAGCTTCAGATTTATTAATAACTAACTAACTTCAAATGAAGCGCGCAATTCAAACTGTAAACTGCGCGCGCGCACATTAAATGCAGAGCAAGAAGAAGAAGAAGCAGTTGCTGCGACCGTAACACGAAAAAGAAGAAGAAGCAGCAGCAGCAACAGTCGCACAAACGTGCAAAATGGGCAACAATTTATGTGTTTATCCATGTGCCTGAGTATGCGTGAGTGTGCGTGCATGTGCTCGTGTACGTTTATGTGCCTGTGTGTGTGTGAGAAATGAAGTCAGTGTTTGGGCTGCGAAAAGTAGGTGAATGGCTGTGCGGGTGGGAGAATGAGCACTGGCATGGACATACTGGCAGATGGTAGTGTGCTGGAATGACAGTTCAGAGGCGTGGGACGGGGGGTGTTGGGAGTAGTAGGTGTGAGCGGGGCGTTGTTACGTCGTCGTTGTGCACAAACATGAATCATCTCACCGCGTTGAGCGTGACGGACGAGGAGTGCTGCTCAATTTGTGGGTGGATGGGTGGGTAGTTGTAGTTATAGTTGGATAGGCAGTTAAATGTCCAAAAACTACAAAAATAAAAACTATAAACAATAATAACCCAAAAAGGTTGCGGCGCTGCCGCTGCTTCAGCTGTTACTGGCTCTGGTTACGGAAGCGACATAAACGGTAAATGACGAGCGTCGCTGTTAATATCTGCAGCGCCAGCGGCAGCGACGTCGACGCCAAGCCGACTATAGACAGTCAGAGAGAGAGAGAGAGAGAAAGAGAGCGCAACAACAACAGCGACACAGCGTAACAAAAAGAAACAACATATTTATGGAAATAGCTAAATGAGATAATATGACAGCCAACAGCAAGTTGTAGAGGTAGAAGAGTGTGTCGACAATTACTAAGCAACAACAGCGACTTGTTTGCTCATGAGAGGAAGAGAGAGAGGTGGACACAGAGAGAGCTTTAAGCGAACAAGCAACAAATTAGCATTGCATACGCAATTTTCTATTTATAATAAAATAACAGCAACCGCAATACAGCGCTGGGCGTAGCTTTCGTAACGACCAACTTTTTTAGAACTTTTGCAACTCCAACTAGACGATAAGATAGGGCTAGTCGATTAAAGGCTGCGGCCACGCTGTTAGTTTTGAAAAACAAGCAGCAGCTGTTCCAATTGGACTGGCCGAGGGCGAATTTGTTAAATTTAAATGTCACATGAAAAGCGAAATAAAAAAAAATAAAAAAAAAAACGGAAGCGGAGGCGAGTGCGAATGCGTGTCTTGGCCAAATAGTTGCATGATCTTTTTTTAACACGCTCACAGATACGCACACTCCTCTCACTCTCTCACACACATGCCTAAATAAATACTTACTTTATTTGCAAATCCGGCTGCTGCTTCTGCTTCTTCTTTTTCTGCTGCTTCGGCTCCCTCTCTTCGTTTTACGCTCAATTTTTTGTTTTGGGTTGGGTCTGACGCCAGCAACAGCAACAACAGCAACAACAACTGCTGTTGCTGCTGGTGCTTGTTGGCCGCCTTGGGCAATGTTCAAAATTGATTTTCCAGTTGGAAATTGAACAAACAATTTGTAATGCACACAAATACGGGTATTAAATAAATTCTATATCGTTTCAAGCACAGCCAATTGAACAATTGCCAGATGAGAGATCACAGTTTTGCTCTTATTTTTGCCTCCGCTCACCCACTTCTTTATTTCTATTATTATTATTATTGTTATTGTTGTTGTTGTTGCGCGCAGTTTCACTTTAACACGTTAAAATGACATTTGTTGTTGTTGCAATATCGGTGCTCTCTTTCTCGTTCGTCTACCGTTATTGCTTACTGCCAGAGGTGTTCGTCGCCGTCGCAGTCGCAGCGCCGTCGGGCTGCCGCGGGTTCAACACAAATTCCAACGTCTTCAAAGTCTCGTCTGCTGCTTCTGCTGCTGCTGTTGGCTGAATTCGTGAACTTTTTCAGTGACGCGCTGTTTGCCTGTGTATGTTCTCTTGCTCTCTTCCTCTCTCATTGCTCATGGGTCAGATTTGCACTCGCAATTTGTCCGCGTTGCGGTTGTTCGATTTGACAAACATCACATTTTGTTGCACATTTTCAATGTTTGCTTGTTATTTAGCCTATTCATTAAATTATTTTCACTCTTTTTACATTAATTTTATACCGATTTTGTTGCGCGTTGCGAAAAATTGCCTCTTCTTGCTCATCGGTTGTTGCCATAAATCGATACGAGCTCTCACATCGATATCATGTACAGGTTTGCATTGGGCAACTACGACTGCATATCGATAGTAGACTGTAGGTATACCTTTTCGTAACAGTCTGGTAGCATTTCTTTTATGTAAATAGCGCATATATTCAATCTTATTAAAGTGATGTTTACCTTTTGATATACATACATATAATACTTTCATACATATTGGAAGGAAGACAGCTGGGTCAGCAACAAATTATATGCAAAACGATACGCTGATAAAGCTGCAGCGGGTCTGTATGATAATAAATAAATGTGAAAATGCAACGTGGAATTTTTTCTCTTGTATTTATTTGTCTTTTTTCTTCAGTCCATTGTTTGTATAGAACTCATTCGCTTTTGCGATCATATTACTTTTGCTTTAACTGAAAGGCAAAACAATTCATTTGTATGGCTTCAGTCTGGCTTCAGTCTTTTATTACTTTGAACAATTCTGGTGAACCGCCTGTGCCCGACCCGATGGATCTTCTGGGCAGCCCCAATCAAGGCGTGGCACCCATCGCACCACTGTCCGAGCTGCTGCATCTCCTGGAAACTGTTGCTCAAAGATGGTGCGGTAGTAGTATGCTTCCTTTGTCGTTGGCGTATTGTATGGATATCTCTCGGCAGCTGCCGCAAACTCCGCGTCTTCCACGTGGCTGGTGGCGACGCGACGGATGCTATTGATCCATTCATAGCCGACGCCATCCGAGAACTGTTCCTTCTGGCGCCAGAGCACTGAATCCGGCAAATAGTCGTTGGCAAAGGCAGCGCGCAACACAAATTTCTCCAGCCTGGATTTCTGCTCGTCCTTGAATTGATTTAGAGGCCCAGGAATCTTGTCCTGTGGCCGTATGCTCATCACATAGTTGACGAACTCCGTGTCCAGGAAGGGCACACGCAGCTCCACACCCTTGGCCATGGACACTTTGTTGGCGCGCAAGCAGTCGGACAAATGCAGCTGCTGCACACGCTTAACCAGCTCCTCGTGAAACTGCTGATAGTTGGGCGCCTTGTGGAAGTAGAGATACCCGCCAAAGATCTCATCTGCGCCCTCCCCAGAGAGGATCATCTTGATGCCGGTGCTCTTAATGTAACGAGCCAGCAGCAGCATGGGCAGGCTGCATCTGACAGTTGTCACATCGTAGGTTTCCAGATGATAAACAATGTCCCGGATGCCGTCCAGTGCATCCTCAATCTCAAAAACGAGCTCCGTGTGGTCACTGTCTATGTACTTCGCCACTTGTCGAGCCGCCTCAAAGTCCGGAGCATCTCGCAGGCCCACCGAGAAGGTCTTCAATCTGTAGTCCGGATCGGTCTCACGCATAATCTTTGTGGCAATTGATGCTATCAAGCTGGAGTCGACGCCGCCAGAGAGCAGTGCTCCAAAGTGGACATCGCACTGCAGATGGGTGCGCACGGCGGACTCCAAGCTGCTCCTCAGCAGCGACAGGTCGCAGGGCAAGTTGGGAATCTGCTTCATCCAGGGCTGTTCGAAGTACCGCCAGCGACGCATAGCGCCCACTCGCCCGAAGCGCGCCTCGCCCGGCGTGAAAGTCTCCAACTTCTCACAGCAGGCAGTCAGGCATTTCATCTCGGAGGCCACCCATATGTTGCCCTTGGCATCCTCGCCAATGTACATGGGTATAATCCCAAACGGATCACGTGCCATCAACACCTCCTTGGTGGTCTTGTCATATAATGCAAACGCGAACATGCCCGTGATATGCTGCAGCAACTCTACGCCGTAATCTTGATACAGTTCCAATATGACGTGGCAGTCACTCTTTGGCTTATAGCCGCCACGTCTTTTCGCTATCTGCGCAGATAGTTCTAGATAGTTGTAGATCTCACCGTTGGCCACCAGCAATAGATTGCCATCATCCGAGACAAATGGCTGGTCACCCAATTCAACTCCGACAATGCGCAGTCGCTCGTGGACCATGGCCACTCCGTGTTCTGGTACAATCTGGACGCCCGTCGAGTCGGGTCCACGATGCCGCTGTCTGCCACTCTGCCTATAGGCCAACTCGCGAAGACTATGCTTGCAGCCATCCAAACACTGTGCCTCTATAGGCGATCCGTCGCTGGAGAATATTGCAAATATTCCGCACATAATTCTCAATTTAATTCACCGTTAATTCGGTGCACGTTGTCTAATATGCTCCGCCGAGCGTCTATCCGCTCACGCTGCTTAAATTCAACTAACCTTACGTGCGTTCAATTAGCATTATATGTATATGGAGTTCGATTGCATCATTCGACTGTTAACTAACAGCTCTGCTTGACGTCACGGTTGCGAATCTCTGTTATCACCTCTGTTATCACACCTGTAAATTCATTCGTGGGCACTTAAGCAGACATCCGGCAGGTGCTTCAAGACAAGTCTGTTAATATTAGCCAATTTCTCTCAATGGTGGCTCGCTATTACTATTACATCAGCCACACTGTTAACGCACTTCAGGTGAGCACAACTAAACAATTTGACGTCAAACAAGCTGTGAGATAAAATGAGAAGTAACGGAACTGCTCTTTGCATGACAGTGCTATGTCTCAATCGTGTTAACCTGCTGTCTTTTAACAGTGCATTCTATCGCTCTCCATCTCTTGCGTCTCTTTCCTCTTACCGAAACACTGACCCGTTTAATTTAATTATCGTTCAATGTATTTATTGAATGCACGTGCGAATTGAAGAGTGTGTCGGAAATTAAATAATTGTTTTTAATTTGCATTCATTTTCTTATCAATTGATTCGGTTCAGTCAGGTTCAAGAGCAATTGTTTTCCGTGGGTGAAAGTTCACTAATAATAATTGTAGATTCTTTTGGGAATAATTGAATATTTATTGATGCTATTATAAAACTGAAAACTAGTTTATACATATATTGCTATTATTCTAATTGTTATTTATATAATAAACAATATCGAGAAATGGAAAACAATTAATACAAATATTTAACACTTGCCATAGGCTTGATTATGGGCCGCCTGTGCCCGCCCTGACGGATCCTCTGGACAACCCCAGTCCTGGCGTGGCGTCCACTTCGCCACAGTGCTGGCAGCTGCGTCGCCAGGGAACTGCTCCTCGAAGATGCAGCGATAGTAGTAGGCCTCCTTTGTTTTGGGCGGATTGATGGGAAAACGTTGCTCTGCCGCTTGGAGCTGCGCATCGGTCACGTGACGAGCTGCGAACTCCGGCAGGGCGTCGATGAGGGCGTAGCCCACGCCATCCGAGAACTGTTCCTTTTGGCGCCAGAGCACAGCATCTGGCAGATAATCTCCAGCAAAAGCTTTGCGAAGCACAAACTTCTCCATGCGCCACTTTCGTTCTCCCCCGAACTCATTGAGAGCACCTGGTATCTTGTCCTGCGGACGTATGCTCATCACATGGTTCACCAGCTGGGTATCCAGGAAGGGCACACGCAGCTCCAATCCCTTGGACATGGTCACCTTGTTGGCACGCAATATATCGGAGACATGCAGTCGTTCGCAGATCGTTACCATCTCTTCATGGAACTGCTCGTAGTTGGGCGCCTTGTGGAAGTAGAGATACCCACCAAAGATCTCGTCCGCGCCCTCGCCCGATAGGATCATCTTGATGCCGGTGCTCTTCACATGGCGGGCCAGGTAGAACATGGGCAGGCTGCAGCGCACAGTGGCTATATCGTATGATTCCAGGTGATAGATCAGATCGCGCAGCCCATCCAGGCAATCCTCCACCGTAAAGCTGATCTCCGTGTGCTGGCTGCCAATGTGCTGGGCCACCAGACGTGCATGCTCGAAATCAGGCGAGCCGGGCATGCCCACCGAGAAGGTACGCAGCTTGTAGTTAGCGTCCCGTTCCCTCATGATCTTGGCAGCTATCGAAGCTATCAGGCTGGAGTCCACGCCGCCCGAGAGCAGCGCACCGAAGGGCACGTCACACTGCAAATGCGAGCGTACAGCCAGCTCCAGTTGGTGGCGCAGCTCTTGAAGATCCACCGGTCGCGTGGGCGTCAACTGCCGCCAGCTGGGATTGTGGTAGCGCACGGGCTGGAGCTGCTGCTGCACTGTGCCTGCTGCCAGATGGCCGGGTGGGAAGATCTGCAACCGCTCGCACACGCCCATCAGGCACTTCATCTCCGATGCGAACCACAAGTTGCCCCGCGCATCCTGGCCAATGTAGAGAGGAATAATGCCATAGGGATCGCGGGCCACCAGCAGCTGGCGTCTGCGACGATCGTAGAGCACAAAGCTGAACATGCCCGTGATGTGTTGGAGCAGCTCTTGGCCGTGCTCCTCGTACAGCTCAATGATCACATTGCAATCACTCCTGGGCCGATAGCCGGGCAAGCGTTTACCAATCTGCTTGGCTAGCTCCACATAGTTGTAGATCTCGCCGTTGGCGATCAGGGCAACGTTGCCGTCTTGCGACACCAGCGGCTGATGACCCGTCTCCACGCCAATGACCGCCAGCCGTTCATGCACCAAGGCCACGCCCTGTTCCTCTATAACCAGGACGCCCGTGTCGTCGGGTCCACGATGCCGTTGCTTCCCACTCTGCCGATAGGCCAACTCCCGCAAACTGTGATCGCTGCCCTGAAAATTTGTTGCTCCAATCGCCTCTCCGTTCGCCGAGAAAATGGCTAAGATGCCGCACATTTTGAGATCGTTCTGATTAGACTACTGAATCAGTTAGTACTGTATCTTTAAACCAATAGCCAGATTCATTTGCTCGAGCAGCTGCCTCGACTGCTGCTTTTATAACAAGTTGGTCAGTGAATTTCGCCCTTGTTTGTTGTTTTGTTTTTGTTTTTGCCTAATTTAGTAATTTAACGACGCCAAACAATTGTTAAAAAAGCGTTAAATTTGTTTATCCCATTGAAAATCGAAATTGAGGCACTCAGAATATATATGGTTTATACCCTGTAATGCTGTATGCGTTTCGGTCAGTCTCAGCACATTACCTCAGTCCAGCCATGGCTATTTGATTGTCTGTCTATCTGTCCATACATTTAAGGACCTACCATAAAGAGTGACTCATTTAAATGACATGAAATTAAATTTATATAGAACAACTAGTAGAGAAGTTATTCAAGATTTAAGGCGAACTGCCAATGAAGTTGCATAAACCGGCCGCTAGATGGCGTACATCGTTAGCAAGAGCAGGTCTTTCTATGATTTACAAATAATGTAAGCACCTCGATGAAGGCTTTAGGGTATCTTTCAGTCGGTAAATGTCCTTCATCGAAAGACCTAAACACACAGCTCAAAAAACTAAGGCAAAAAAAAAAAATATTGACAGCTTTATTTATTATTTAAATTGCTCCTCTATAAATTATAAAATAAAGTGTAAATAAAAATATTGTTTCAATTGCTGGCTACCAAACCATAACATGGAAATTTCGCATATAACATCTGATTTTTGCTCAGTGTATATTATGAATCAAAACCGGATTTGGGGATAAAGTATGATACTAAAAATAAATTAACTGCTTAGTCGCACGATAAATTTACATAATATTTAGTTAATTAAGAATTTTTTAGTTCGGCTTAAAGTATTTACCATTCGAGCTTAAAATCAATAACAAATTTAGAATATAGGTTTATTTTAGCTTCGTTCCCATCAGCCTGGGAAAGTAAGGACAAGGTACATACATCAATACGGAATTAAATTTGAATTTTAGCAAGTTGAGCAATTTATTTTAATTGATAGAGCGGAGCAAAGGGCGCTGGCAACGCTTAGAAAATAGCGCTACATTAATATGTAGATTGCTGTCAAAAATATATATACACTATGTATATCTGATTAATTTAATCTGTATGTATAGAATAGTTTACTCTGTAGTGGGCAACAATTCAAAGCAATGTTGAAATTCAATCACAAATACAAAATGCTGAAGCCCACAATTGAGTAATAGTGAATTATGCTAAGTTAACAGTGTGACGCTGTTTGTTGACAATATTATCGCTCACTAACTGAAAAACAAAACACATTTCTATCTGACCTTCTATTTCTATCAGACTTTTGAAAGCTGCGCCAATTTATCAGCTGTGAAAAATTATGATATTTAATTACGATAACGATAGCGTTTAGCGATTGACAATTCTTACCAAAGAATATTAATATACTTTGTTGATTTGTGCCACTTAAATATGTTTAAAATATTTTATTTCTGACTTATTTCATACATCTTTACGCCATTCGCTGGCATAAGCCCCCAAAGGATTCATTCCCTGGAAGGTACGTGCGTGAGCACGTCTGCATTCCACCTTTCTGGGCGAATGGTTATTGGATAGTGTGAATATTTGAATAAAACCCAATGTAAACAATGGAGTCCTGCAAAGTTTGAGTATTAAAATGAATATAATTTCACATAAATTAATATTATTATCAATATGAACAAATGAGGATTTTGTGTTAAGTTTGTTTGGCGCTCTGCCATTCAAACAGCCAACGTCTGAACTGGCGTCATCGATAAATGCTTGCAATCGTTTTACAGCACTGTCGCATTTGAAATATACTGACAGCTGCCTGCATCAGGCAGCGGTGCAAGAAAAATTGTATAAATTTGCAATCAAATAGAACCAAAATTATTCAATATATTTGTCAATAAAAATGTACACAGATGAGGTGAGTACGCCGCAAGCACTAAAGACGCGATGCTATGCCAGCTTAAATGAGCTCAAATGCCGCGTAACAGCGAGCGGCAGACGAAACAGCAGCAATAGCGGCATCAGCAGCAGCAACCATTTTATAGCCGCGGCGTCTGCAACGCCTACGAATGGCGCCAAATCGAATAAATCAAAGTGCAGCCCCCAATTGCACGGCACGGTGTGCACACCGCCACCCAAACGACTACAGAAGGTGCGAAATCCTTTTGAGGGCGCTCTGGCAGAGCGTCTGCATTTACCATTGATAGCCAGGTGAGTGTGTGAGTGGACGATTTTGTGCTCAGTTCTCAATAATTGGTTTGCTCTTTTTAGTCCATCACTCTTTCAGTGTCGCTCGCGCACTCCACAGCTCTCCTCCACGCAATTCGAGTGGGACATCGAAGAGGTGTCCCAGCTGAAGCCCGCGGATGTGGAGCCGCATGAGACCCAATTTCATGACTCGCCGGATCCCGAACAGGAGTCCAAGGCACAATTGGCTATTAGCACCTTTTTCAAGGAATCGCATATAGTGCCCAGCCCCGTGGACTGTCCGCTGCGCAAGCATCGCATCATACTTAACGAAATCAATGCAAATACGCCCATATCGAACAAGAGCAAGGTACGTTCTCGGGACTGCGAGGTGCAGACTGAACTCAGTTTGCCCCCTGTGCTGCCCAAGGCATTGGAAGAGGCACTGCGCCCTTACTTGCAACCCCACTTGGCGGGTGCGCAGCTGCGTAAGTCATCTAGCGGCGGCGACATCTTCAACAGCTCTATGCGTCGCAAGCTTTTCGATTTGCAGAATATCATTGTGCTAGGGGAGCGTGACCAAGAGCAGCTGCCGCCGGGAAATGAGCAGCATGTGCAGATGGTCGGATCCAGTCCTCATGCCAAACAGACCGTGATTGCTGGCCGCCTCTCTGATTCCGCCGGCGAGGGTTCAAGTAGTTTTGGTTGCCTATCGCCAATTAGGAATCTCTGCGGTCTGCCACCTGGTACACCGGACGATGGCAACGGACGAAGTAGCGGGCGCAGGCGCAAACAGCTGCTGCAAGAGCTAGTGGAACTGCCCTCGCCCATTGCTCCATCGGAGCATTTGAGCCGGCGCCTATACAGGAGTAAAAGCAGCAACAGCAGCGAACACGTGACCCTCTCTGAGCTGACGACCACGGCACGAACCGCTTGCAAATTTACGCCCGATCGTAGTTCCTCGCCGATGGCCCTAGAGTACTCCACAGACAGCAGCATCAATCAGCGTGTGAGCCGTTTGCATATGAATAGCATCAAGCAACTGCCTAATGCTTCACTACTGGAGCAGGCGAATCTGCTAGTGGCGCAGGATAATAATGAAACAACAGAGGCGGACTTTGATAGCGATGAGGACGATGATACCGATACAGATGGCATGCAATTGTCGCAGGTGTCCACGCAAAGTTTCAATTGCAGTTCCAATTCAGATACGCCGCGTCATCGTCGACGACGATCTGCTAACAGAAAGAACTTATCGCAATCCTTCGGTGCAAATCTACTGGACGATATGGAGCCCGAGCAACAGGCGGACAAAGTCGAAGCACCACAAGCTGAGAGCGTTGCAGATGCAGCACCTCGTACTGGCTTCTATCGCACAGACAGCGGATTCAATGAGACAAACAGCACCTCGAATTTCGCCTGTTCCCAGGAGCTGCCCTGTACTTCGTTAGATGTATCTATGGTCTGTTGCTCAACGCCTTCGACACGCTCCTGACATTAGTCGTATGAAGTCGAAATCGTAATGCAATAACCCTTATCTTGATTTAGTTAAGGATCAGTCTGAACTGCAATGTAGCCCACCATATATACCCAAGGCCTTTCATGTCTATTGTTTAGTTCTTTTTTTATTAACTTTGTGTCTGAAATTATTTAGAAAATTTAAATAACTTTTGTCCATGTAGTTGCCAAACTAGTTAAATAAGTTGTCATCGTTTGCAATTTCATATTGTATTTTATAACATTTCTATTTCTTATAAATAAATAAAAAAGTAAAAAAAAAAGTTAATTCCTGCAGACAAGTAATATAACAGCAGTCATGCTAATTTTTGCTCTGCTACCAAATATCGCTTTTTCAAATTGTAATTGATATAAAAACTAACTCCGCCAAACATTTTAAATCACTTAGTTGACAGCCGGCAGCAGATCATGTTAGCTGTAACAGATCACTTGAACATTAACATTACCAATTTGAGTTTAACAGTAGATAAAACGATAACAATTGTAGAGAGAGCACAATTCACAGTTTTCTTTCAAACATTTTGCGGAGATAATGCGAAAGAACAAATATTAATAAGTTAGTTGTTGATTTGCCGCCGAACTGTTAGCGTGTCGGTATGTAACGCGTGGAAGTGAGTGAGGATTCAAAAAATTACCAACTGAATATATGTTTTGGCAATACAAATAAAAAATTGTAAGCGAAATATTGGAAACAATGAAATTAATAAATAATCCGAAAAATATTGAGTTCATGCGTGTTTGCATTTAATTTATACGCGTTTGCTGTTGAATGCATTTAATAGTGGTACGCATGCAAAAATACTGTAATATCAGCAAACAGCAGCAACAATAACAACAACAAGGGTGACTTTACTTAAGACAAACCACGAAAATTGCTGCACTAATTTTCACCTGTGTATTGTGTTCTTGTTGTTTTTGTTGTAGTTTGCTACGTTTGGTTGCTTTTTGGCTATTTCGATGTGTGAGTGTCGGCGCCTATATGTGTGAGTAGCGGCATCTATGCGCGCGCGCGTGTGTGAGTGTGGTATGCGTGAGTTGTTATAAATAGGCGAAAGAGAGAGAGAGGGAAGCAGAGAGAGAAAGATCACTTCTTGCAAGCAAAGAAAGTGCAAAAAGAAGAAACAACTCAGCGAAATACACAAAATATGTTTATTTTTATAGGCCAACAAATAAATTAGAACGCCGACAGCATGCGAAAGCGTAAATGTGTCAGGTAAAAAAATAAATAAAAAACAACAAATGAAATTGTATAAATTACCGGATATAAATTCTTTAGTGTGCTATTTCTTTAATGAAATGATATGAAATGGAATAAAATTAAATGCCATATATTTGGCAACACTGAAAACACTGAAATTCCTGTTACAAGAAACCAGTTAGACTGTTAACAGTTCCCCCTCTCATCTCTCTACCGCTCTATGTTGAGCCAAATCCTATTGGAAGCCGACTGCTGCATCCGTTTTTGAGCGAAAGTTTTTTATGGCTGTCTCGCCGGAGTGTGCAAAAAAAAAAAAAAAAAGAAATGAAGAAGAAAAATAAATGTGAGCAGCCTGCCAGCTGTTGATAGGCAAACTGCATAGAGCAGAGAAGAAATAATAAAAAAAATCTAGTCAATTAATTGTTTTTTGTGCGCCGTGAAAGTGCTCAACGTCTTCATATAATAAATACAATTTTCTACAATTGCAGCGTGATCTATGTATATGTGTGTGAGCGATTTTTTTATTATATATTTTGATTGAATGCAACATTGAATCTAACTGCAACAACAACAATCGCAGGCGTCAACGTCAATGTCACTTGTGGCTCTAACTTGTTATTGAGGTAAGCTTTTATATCAAATGCGCATTACAAGTATATAAATGACCTGTTTAATCTAGTTTTTAAGCTTAGCCATAGAAATACTTTCCTAAATTATGCAAACTGCGTTCAGTGTTATGCGAATCCTTGAATTCAATTTCAAGTAGACAAATCGTAAAAAAACGGAACATAGATTGACTTTCAATTGGCCAACAAAACTCATAAAACAGACAAAAGCCTTGTTATGGAGTTACTCTTATTGGAACTGTTTGATTGTAGCTTTAACATTTTGAATGTTAGAATCTCTAACAGTTTCCGCAAACTAATCACTGTTAAGCTCCTCCACAATTAGACCAATATGTGTATTTGCTGATAGAGTATTGTCAAACCAAAATTTCTTATTAATATAAAGAAAAATATAAATAAAGTAAAATTAATAAACATTAATTCAAAAACAAATAAAATAAATACCAACACATCACCTAAAATGGGAGTACCTTCATCTTCTTCTGAAAGTTTCCAGTTTCGAAAGAATTGAACGGTTTTGGCCTTAAACCTTAAACTCGTAACTGAACACATTTTGACCCTTTAAGCCGTGTTGCCTGTGTGTGACACACGCTTGTGGAAACTTCTCAGCTCTGGCCAGGCCATATTATTTGTCTTCTTTACTCCTCTGTCTTTCATTCCTTTTATTATTTATTTATTTTTTTTTTTAGCCGGTCTCTCTTGCGGCTTTTGTACAACTTCCGCTATATGTGAAGTGGTTTCGTTGAAAAAAAAAAGAAAAACAGAAATGAAAAAAATGTAATTAAACCGAGAGAATGAGCGGCAAAAGGGAGCGCAGTTAGATAGGCTGGCACGTAAGTAAGTAGGTAGCAGACAAAGAGTAAAGCACATATACAATAACAACAACAACAACAGCAACGACAACACGAAGAATAATAACAACAACAATAATAAACAACAAAACTGCTATAACAGCTATGTCTGTGTAAACAATGAACCCAAGTTGCAGCAGCAGCAGCAGTGGCAGCAGCAGAGGCTGCTCTCATGGGAGTCGCAACTTGTTGTTGCTGTTGTACCCGAAAAACCGGTTACATGAAATCATGAAACTGAACAAGAACAACAACAACAGCAACAGCTAGTAAAATTCTAAAGCATTGCCGTATGCACATTGTCTATCTACTATCGTCTGTGCCTCTGTCGCGGCCTCTCCCTCTCAGACTCTCTCTCACTTTGACTCTTTCACTCCGCCTCATTGTCTCGCTCTAATGCGCATGCGTGCAACTTGTTGCCAGCTGCTGCTGCACTTTCATTAAACATTTGCTCCAGCCAGCTAGTTGAATATGTCTATAAATATGCATACCCTAGATTAAATGGGGTATATTGACTTGACATTTTACCACTAAATTTGTCTGCTCTAAGTTTCAGTACATAACATTCCAATAGTAGTAATCCAATTGGAATATATGCAAAGCATGCTTTACATTTGTTTAGTGCTGTCATTCTCGCTAATTGGGGTTAATGTTAATCAACATTGCTCAACAATGTTAGGAAACTCTAAAACTTTACATTCCATGAATCCCATTTGTTTGTATAATGCTGAGCTTTCCAATTGAACCAAGCTAATGGGAATAATGTTAATTTACATTTCTGTTCGATAGTTCACCAATACTTAAAAGTTACATTCCAATGTAAATATCCAGCTCGTTTCTGATCATGTTAAAAATAAGCTTCGCCACTCTCTAATTGGAATACCAATTGCTTTAATCAAGAGCATTTGCAATTCGTTTTGGGTGCTCAGCACTCAGGCGTCTACTTGTTTTTCCTGTTTCTTTGCTCATACCTATATACAAATTCAATTTCTAATATATAAAATCAAAACACGTTTTTGCATCCTTGTGGCACACTGACATCTTTCAACGTAAATTTGCTTAATTAATATCACAAAAGCTTTTGCTTTCAGTTTCTTATTCAGCTGCTACTCCACACCTCTCTCTCTCTCCTCTCTCAGGCTGTGTCTTCCTCTTCCACACATGTTGTTTGTCCAGTTGCTTGCATTGATTTGCAAATTTTTCGCTTCTCTTGACGTAATTTGCTTAAATATTTTATTTACCTGGCCGACATCGAACCGCTCACTAATCAAGCTGCCTTATGTCTAAGTTAATCACGGCGACAGCTCAGTTACGATTTAATTGCCGGGCATTGACAGTCAAGGACTCGCCCCTAATACAGTGCTGGCCATATAAATGTGCCTACATTTTTATGACTTACACATTTTATTGGCTTTTTAGTTGAGTGAAATATAAAAATTTCCTAATGAAAACCATATTTGCTCTAGAGGTGCCAACTGTTGTTCATTTGTTTATTTGGGCATATATATATATATATATATGTGTGTGTGTGTGTGTGTATGCAGTGTAATGTACACTATAAACATGTTGGGCATTCCGTTTCGGGTTGCCTTTGTAATTCAATGCTGTGGAATGCTTCCAAGGAGGCGCCTTTGACAGCTGTTTAATTAGTCTGGCGGCAACAGCTGTGCTCGCCAGCCAAAACTTGAACAGAACAATGGACAGAAATATGCAAGATAGTCGAATATTTAATGCACTTACAATGACAATCAAGTTATAAGTTATAGTTATAGGGCTGAGTATTTCACTAATGGAGAAGATCCTTAAGCCATATATGTATATCATAAAAGGGGGAAAAAAATAGAGAGACGAGCGAGAGAGAAAATGTATGAAACCAATAGAATTTGTATACATTGTGAATTCTATGTAATTTTCTTCAGTGTTTTAATATCTAAACGAGTTCTTTAATATATGTACTCGCCATTTTCTATATACTTAACGCAGAGTTCGAGCAACCTTCACTCTACAAAGGTTAATTGGTTGAATCGTTACAAATCTGTTGACAATTCTCACAGACATTGCAAACGAGAGCAAAGTGGAAAAGCCCTTCGCACTCTGACAACAACTGCAGACGTCTAACCAGACGAAACGGAAACCAGGTCTTGACTTTTGCTATTAATGAGCTGAAAAAAACATAAAAACAATAACAAAAAAGTTTGAGTTGATTAAATAGAGCAAAAGTTAACTTGGCAAACTTATTTCGAGTACAACTTGTTAACAGTTCACTTTGCATTATTTTGTAAGTTCATTGCGTGTAACGGTAAATTTCCCTTGGCGCCAAGCAGCAGCAGCATTAGTGACTGCAACAACAGCTGCTACATCATCATCACCAGCAGCATCAACTGCAGCAGCAGCAGCAGCAGCAGCAGCAGCAGCAGCAGCAGCTGTAGCCGCAGCAACCTCAAAAGTCAGTCAACTAATTCAATTAGTGCCATGTGAATTATTTGCCCAAATCTGATGACGGGCATTTAGAGCCACAGCGGAAGGGGCGCTATAGGGCGAGGGGGAACGCCAAGGGATGTCGGTTGAAAGCCGATATAATGAAGCTATTGTAAATTCACTTTGTGCTTGCCTTAGAGATGGAAAACAGGTTACACGACAAAGTACTTAAATTAAATTGAGTTAAATTTGATATGAAGAAACTCAATTGAGGATTTGATATAAATTTATATGATTATTATATTACTACATAATATATAATATATTGAAAATTAAAAATCTTCTTCATATATATTTTATATATTTCATATATCCCATTTAAGTTTCTCACTTTTTAAGTCTACTCTCTCATCTGACTCTCCCTCTCTCTCTCT